TATTTAATAAACGATACAATGAATTTGATGATCCAAATTATCTTTTAACATTTTTTTTGCATCCAGCCTATAAAGGAGCAGGGCTTAAATTTGGAATATTTCCTAAAATTGCATCTCATACTGGTGTTTTATGGAAATCTTTAGGAAAAAATCAGGAAAGTTTTGAATCATTAATAACTCAACTACGGGAATACAAATTGCAAAGAGATTCTAATGGACTACCGAATGCATATTCTATGCCTTACTCATTTAATCAAGATACTCCATTAAGTTGGTGGACAACTTGTGAAGTAAATCCAAATCAATTACAATATCTTGCTTTGCGACTTTTTTCTATTACACCAAGTAGTGCAGCTTGTGAACGTACATTTCTACTCTAAATTGGCTTTATAGCAAACGCCGTCAACAAATGAATATACAAACCTTAAAAAATATTGCAAAAGTTTATTGCTTTAATCTTTCTCAGATTGGATTAGAATCTAAACATACAAAAAACAAAGAATTAACAATAAATGATATATATGCATTAGTTAATTCTTTGTTTGATAATATTGAAGAGAAGGATAATGATTCACAAGATGTTGAAATTGATCAAGCAACTATTTTGGATTCTATTTATCCTACTACTACAACTGAAAATTTAAAATTAGAAATCAGTACATTTGTTGATTTTAATTCACAAATCTTTGAATCATTTAATAGCAATAAAAATAATTTTATTGCAGATGAGAATTCTGAAGACAATGATACAAGAAATTTTGATGATTACGATCCGGAAACTATTGTTCAAAATATGGGACTTGATGAGGTTTAGTAAAATTTTGAAAAATAAATATTGAAACATTTTTATTTTTTTATTTAATTTATTAATATATTTATACATATAGGAGTAACAGTATATACAATTAAATAAATCTAGAAAATACTTAAACTTTGCTTATTGCTACATATGTAAAAAATAAATATCTATCAAAGTAGAATATAGCTTACTAAATAAATTCTATTTTCTGATATAACATGTTTTTTGTATAAGCTGTAAGCAGATATAAATGTAAAAATTTATAGATTAGCAATCGATAGATATAAGAAATTTAATTCGCATTTTGCTTAAATATTATATATTGAATATATATATTGAATTGTTTTTTAGAATTTTTCCTTTAATGAATTTAAATACTATTTTAATATCTTTTTTTTTACTTATACTATTTTGATAAAAAAATTTAATGTTAGACTCTTTGAAATAATTTATTTTTTTATTTTTATATAATTTACTCATAACTTTGCAATTATATAATTTATAATCTTGCGACTCTATATAGTAAATTTCATGAGTTTGTGATATTTGATTTTGTGATCTTGCGATCTTTTTTTTTTTGCAGCAAAAAAAAGGTTGCGGAGGTTGCAAATAATTTAATGAAAGATGCAAAGTTGCAACTCTGCAGCAAGCAACACTAGTTTATACCATATATTGTTATATTTAATTATTAGTTAGCGGCGAAGCCGCCACATGATCATGTACTAGTTATTATAATTTAATTTGATAAATATATTTGCGAGAAACCATATATATATTTCGTATTTTTATAATTTTGATAATTGTATAATGTGATAATTATGGAATTAAAGTAATTTAACAATTATATACATATGCTTTTATTATCGTTTAAAATGCCCACACAAATTCCGCATAAATCTCATAAAAAAAATAACAATTGATCCAGGGCTAAAACGACACATAGTATACGCCAGTCATTTACTACGCCGCTGCCCATTGTTTGAAGTATCTTTTTTGATACATCAAATTTACTAGTACGAATATTTTACAGTAGTTTAACAATAGACATAAAGTGAACCAATCAAATTTTAATTTAATATGAATCAAGAATGACACTTATTAAATGACCGGCGTTATACTATGTGTCGTTTTAGCCCTGAAATTTTATGCGCTTATTATACGATCGCATATGTCCGTGGTTTCTACTCCATGCCAGAGAAATATTTGATTATTCCCATCATCCCGTGAATAAATAGTACTAAATCATACGTATTAACTAATAAATATTTTTAAATAGTATTGAATTAATGCAACTACTTCGTATCAGAATTATCATAATATTGCGATAAGTTATATTCATCAACTTCTGGCCTAGCGTGGCAATGTTATATAGCCATTTACTTATATACTTATAATAACACTATTATTATTTTATTGTTCTCAAAAAAGTTTTAATAGTGAACAGTAAAATTTTAGACTGCACAAATCTATAATAGTGTTCTCTTGAGAACTCTGAGAATACTAATTTCAGGCACTGGGTATAGGCGATATGAAATCTCCGCTTGTATATGTTGTAAGTGGGAATGAAATTTAAGTGGATTTGGAATTTCCTAGTTAAATTAAGGTTAGGGTGTGCATATGATAA